TTCTAAAAGGTTTTGAAGCTACAAGCAAGATTTGTTGATGCCTGTGGCAGATCTCTTGAGGCATGACTGGCACCTGAAAGTGCAAAAGGCTTTGTTTTTCTTTACCGCTGGAGCGACTAAAGCTCACCAGGACTCTCGAATGTGGCGTACTGAGAGATGCAATATGAATATGCAGCAGTGTTAAAACTTTAAATAAAGATTTACCAACTGCTGCTGTGCTGTTGTCTCTCACCTGTTTCAATCTAAATATCTCAAGGTTTCGCAAATGGTAGGCACTTCGTTTTGTGGAATCATTGTAGGGTGGGACTTCAAAGTGACCTGAAAGAAAAGCAGCTGAAGTTGTTTTACATGGCACCATTCTGTAGTTAAAGCCTCACCTTTTAGGTAGTCATTGCCCTTGTATATTCCCGAGATGCCAGCTATCCTTATGCCATTAACACTGACAACACTCGCATAACCTGAAGAAAAAAAAAGAGCATGCCAAGGAACAGATGTTAGGAGTCATTAATGCTTGCTAAATGGTTTGTGAGGTGCATGGTGCTCCATTCCTACACAAGTAAAAGCACCCAATTATTATTTGACAAACAAACTTAAGCATATCACTAAAATTATATAAGACATAATTAATTTGGCCTCATACTATTGTACTTTTCAATAAACTGGGGTAGGACAGTTGGAGCAGCTTTTGCAGCAATTTCTGAAGGATAAAACCTTGATTTTGGTGTAAGTTAGCATAAAAAAAAAATTGCATACTATCTCAAGCGGCTACTCTTTCTGGGCCAACTTTTTAATGTAAGCGATTGGTTTTTACAATTTGGAATGTGCATGGCCAGGGTAGTCTAAAAAGATGAAAAAATTTACACCCACACTTTTCAATCAAGACTAATTAGTTACCAAATTAATTGACAATCGGTTATTGAAATTATTTTGATTATTTTCATTAAATTTATCACTTCAAAAGTATATAAATGGCATCGAGTAGTACCCGACAGACAAAACTGAAATGTTTCACACAGAACTAAAATGCCCTGCCTTTGCATGGTGAAAGAAGATGCTGCTTCAGCGCATCGTGGGAACAACACAATCGCTTCTGCAATTTCTTCATTCACAGATTACCCGACTTTCTTGTGTGTACTAGATTGGCAGCGTGTGTAGAGCAGATGCTAAATATAAGTCCCAGTGAAAGAACAACCCTTTTCCTTTTCCAGGTGGTTGCTAGTTGACCTACAAAAATTGACATTTCCAAATGTAATCTCTCGGCCTGAAAGGGTGTATGCTCTACAAAGAGACTGTCGCAACTCATGAACACGTATGCAGCTGGCACTTAGCTTTTAGGAAATACTTAATGGTAGGAATGACCATCTTTTTGGCACAATTCTTTCAGCAGTGTATACATGTTTTTTTTACGTAACAGTAACTTTTACTCAATCATCCTTGATCAGTAAAGTCACTGCAACACACTTTTTTTACAACCTGTAGCCTGCACTTCAAGCTGCAGTAATTCCATATGCCATTTGCATACACATAATTTCCTGTGGTTGATGGTTGACTACTCCACGTCAACAACTATTAAATCATTCTTGAAGAGTGGGGAGGTTGCTGCAACTCGGTTTCTGTTTTTACAATTGAAGGTGTGCAGCATTTTTCTTGAATCTGAAAGCTCATCGAAGTAAACAGAGCAATACAATTTATACAAGATGCTTACGACCACTTGCATTTGTTGCATGACACAAAGCAATTTGTTTACTGAATGTGTGAAAACCCACATAAATAGACGAGATCAATGCTTTGAAAGTATACACTGATGAACATACAAAACTTTAAAAAAAAAAAAGCAGTTTACCCTCTAAAGAACACAAAAGTTTAACAAGCCAGTGATGCATAAAATTTAATAAGCCCCGTTAGCCCTAAGAAGCAAAATTACATTATTTACAGGCTGCCTCCAAACCAAAATAGGTGGCACATACAGGACTCTCTACTACCATAATAATAAGAATAAAGCAGAACACACACATATATCAGGTAAATTCACCACCACAAGCAAGCTTAATACATGTCTCAAAAATGTTGCACAACATGTAAAATATTCCAAAATGTTGCCATGCTTTTCTGCCATGCTACAGCAGTTATTATTTACTGCAAGTGAAGTTGCTGTACATGTGATTTTGTATTGCCTAGTCATTTCAGTGATAAAATCAAGTCCAACGTGACATACACAGCAAATTTAGCAGTATCCTTATGTGGTAGTTTCTTTTGCTGGTCTCCTTTTCTGGTTTCAAATGACTTGGACGGTTTACAAGAGTGTTCCTCTGCTAACCCGCTTTTCAGCTTCGAGGTGCACACTTGTGCCTTTCAGTCACCAGAGCTGCACCATTTTAACTTAATGTCTGCTAAGCTTCACTATTCCAGTCTGTCAATGAAGAGTTTAGTTGCACACAACTCACTTTAAAAGTGGCTTTACCTACACACACTTACTTTCAGTAGTTGTAGATACAGTGCTACTATATTCATCACAAGTAGTTAACATTCGAGCGGGACATGGAATCTACACACGAATGACTACTCCCATGTGGGCACTTATACGCTCTCACTTGTTTATGAATGTTAATGAACAGCACACACATAGGACATAGCACTGGAAAACTGAGAATGTGTCGGGGCACACTGCAAGCATAATTTTGTACACCCTTAGCAGCAGAGTAACGAGAGCACGAGGGAATGTTCACGAATGGGATATGGTATGAAACAGCCGTAGAAGAACTCTCTGCCACCCAGGTAGTTAGAAAGGTTTGTTATTTCACTAACAGAGGAGATTTAGACCTTGATACTAGTATGATGTCCCCAATTTTTCCCCTTGTGCTTGCTTGCACTTCTTTGTCCTCTCCTGTTGGTCTGCCAGCACTTGTGATGGAATCAACATGGCTATTTTGCTATTGCTGCTACTTTTTAATAGTGATGAGGCTGCTTATTATACAAGTTACAACAATACTGACTGTAATGTGGTACCTGTCACACACAAATACTCACAGGTAGAAACTGTGATTTTGTATAAATTCACTGGAGGCTTTGCTTACACAGCTGTTCCATGTATGTGTAACCCAATTTTTCATTCTGCTGATTCTCTACAAAGTAGAACTAACCCAAATCAACATATTGTATAGCTCCCATATACATTACTATTCCAGAGTCATTGTTTCTTACCCATATAATAGATGTTTTCACAAAGCCAACCACCATATGCCAGTTCAGCCAGATAGTTAGAAGCTTCATGGTTTCCACCGATTACAATGGTCAGAAGTGGTGCTTTCTTCTCGCCTGAGTAGTACCTACACCCAGTAATAAGTGTTATAATGTTAGCGATGATCACATATATAGAAAATTCAGCATAGGAACAATATACTACTACTAATAATAATAATAATTTACATTTTTATTGTACTTATGAGGCACGTTGCAATGGGGGAACTATGGCTAAATTCTGACCACCTGGGGTTACACTGAAGTCAACATACAGAGGTGTTCTTGAATTTCCTCAGCAATTTATTAGGATAGAATTTCTATGTATATGCGCAAGTATAATTACAATGTGAGCTTCGGGCAGTTCAAAACATGGGTACAATCTCAACACATCTCAGCCAATACGGCACATGCGCAGACGCGGCCAACTGTGAAGTGACCGGGTTTCTTGCCATTGCTAACCAAAATCATTTCAGTGTTGCTCCACACACTTCATGGGTGCCCCGCCGCGATGGTCTAGTGGCTAAGTACTCGGCTGTTGATCGAATCCCGGATGCAGCGGCTGCATTTTCGATGGAAGCGAAAATGCTGTAGGCTCGTATGCCCAGATTTGGGTGCACGTTAAAGAACCCCCGGTAGTCGAAATTTCCGGAGCCCTCCACTACGGCGTCTCTCATAATCATATGATGGTTTTGGGATGTTAAACCCCACGTATCAATCAATCATAACTTCATGGGCACTTCCTTTAGGTCCTAATTCGAAGCTTCTCACATGTATGATGTAAACGTTTCGTGATCAGGAAGCACAAATTACAACGACGTCGGTAGAAAGTCAAGAACAAACATTTACTTATGGAAATCTTTCATCTCTTGATATTTTCTAGGAACAGCCATGCAGTCCATGTCAGAAGCATTTCGGACTGCTTGAAAGTCGCCACAGATGATCAGCAAGTCTACCTGGAACGAAAACACAAAACATTTCGCCTTCCAGCATCTGTAATTAACACTACAGAATATTTACGTACTGTGAATCGGTACTGGTTTTCTAGTGCTTTTATAGTTTCGTAAATCTTGTCAAGCTCCCCGTGCGCACAACCTTCAACAGCAATCTTCATAACTGTTAGCTTGAAATGCTGAAAACACTTAGCACCAGGTAACACGGCACGATACCGCGCCGCGACCACTCAAACGGTGCTGAACTCGAGCATGCAGACGTATGCATCCACACATCATACGCTCGCATCAGACCAGTACGCAGCGCCCTTTGTAAGAAGAAACTGCAATTTTTAACGTTTTAACGTTTAATACTGTCTTTAAAGTGTTGAGTGCTGCTGATAGCATTGAAACCGTTCTCAGGTTCAAATCGCTGCCTGAAAAAAACAAATCTTGGAGGCTATGTTTTTTTCTTTTTTTTAATTGCGTGCATGTCGACGAAACCAGATGAAACACTGTGAGCATTGTATTGTAACGTTCAAGCTCGAATCTCCGCGATTTCTTTATCTGTCACAAGTGAAAAAAATTAAATGTATTTGTTAACTTGCACGGGTGCGGCCATAGAGTTTCTCTGTGTGCGGCAGCCAATTACGTCATTACCTCTTATGTTTGCCGCCATGCCCGCTATGTTAAAGAGGTTCAAAGAGCTAGTTTTAGAAAAGTCAAATGTAGCCATGTAGCGCCAAGCAATACTGGCAACACTGAATCCTACGTAGATTTGTGATTGGCTCATACATAGACACGTGACTCAGTAAAATAGGGAAGTAGCGGATTTGGTGATTCGGTGGTTGTTGATGAGGTTGATGTCTTAGCCAGAAAAAATTTAGGGCTAAGCTTGAGGTCAGCGTTTGTGGTGTGCTCCGAGAGCGGTACCTTTCGCACGCCGTGGTCTGATGCTCTATTACTCTACCAGGTAAGAAATACGAACGGTTTAGATGCCCGTGTTTTGCCGGTTTAAGTTTCCATTGTTTTCTTATATTGAAAAATCTCGTTGCAGTCGGCGTTCGATCGACTACTGCTGGAGGTTTTTCGTTCTGTCTGTGCACTTTTCTGCCTTGCACTTAAACAAAATCACTTTTCTAGCAATAAATTGTTGTATTCTGCTTGGTGCGGGTGTGATCATGAATATGGATATGTATGGGCGCTTGCCTCGTCTTTCTTTATTAGGAACGATTTCGCCGCGCTCGCTCGTGAGTCAGTATCCGCGTGAGCTCGTCGGGTACTCCACACGTGCCAAATAACGCTCGAAATGATCTGCAGAAACGTCATCAGCCGCTGCTGTCACGAGCTAGCTGCCGTGCAGTCTCGTGCATCTTAATCAGCGCCATTTGTCCCTGTCGCCTGTCGTGTGAGTAGCCTTTTCCACGATCGTAGTCATCGGTGTTCTTGAGCTAATTACTGTGGTCCAGCAGGCCAAGCTTGGTTGACCTGCAGGGCCAGCGTAGTTACAAGCGTTGACAGCAGCGCAGGAGCTTTGAAATCGGTCGCATTTCATAGTCCACCGTGTCGCATCGCGTAACTGCACGGATCACTTGCTTCTAACATCGCTCCCGCCGAAAGCAGCATCCTTAAGACTGTGCGTGTATGTATGCGTGCGGTTTGTGTTATCTGACGCTCGAAATCGGTTTTGCTTGTACACCTTTTTTGTTTGAGGACCGTCTCCGTGTATTTTAGTCGTTTTATTTTGCTTCCTTCTAAAGCGAGAAAAGCGGCACATTTTCTGCGGCAGCTTTGCCGTGGGCGCACGAAACGGAGGCTTCTCTTCCTTTTCTCGTCCTTTTTATATTCTGCGGAATGCGGAGCTTATTCTCAGAGCGGATGTGGTCTCGGGAAGCGGTGGCACAGAAAGATGTGTCTGCCAACCTACGAATGGGCCCAACATGCATAGTTTACGTGGGTAGGATGCGCGCTTCTTAGCGGAGGTTTTGTTGTGGGTCTGCCTGTTTATTTTATTTGGCCTCTGTGTTTGACATATAGGTGGTGGTGTGTTTCTGGCACGGCGCGGCACAGCGGTCAATATTCCGATACTCGAAGCAACTGTTTATAAACCGCTAACGCGTTGTTGAGGCGCTTGTTTCGTGTGGCGAGCGACATTTGTTTGTGGAAGCCGCGCCTGGGCACACTTCACGCGATCTGAGCATCCGGTGCGATTCCGCCGTTACTCATAAGCGCAAACCGTTCTATTGTCGGAGGATAGCTTACGATTTCCTCCCTTCTGCTTCACTCGGTGTGAGTGAAATGCAATATGACGGCACCAGGCACTCGGAGCCCCCGATTTGCCGCTTTTTTTACATGTCGAAAATCGTTATGTCTGATAACGCTTGGGTGCCCACTCTTTGATCTAACATTTTGCGCCTGCTTTTGGGTGTTTCATAGGTGTTGCCCCGTGAGGCTTGTTGCGGGCATTGGAAAGATGGTGAGACGTAGTTCTGTATCTGGCTGCTGCTTTCGTAACGCAAATACCGAGTGGCCAAATAATGCGCTGGTTGTTGTGGAATGCAGTTGTAGTAGCTTGAATGCTTGTGCTGCAAATTCATGCAAGCATGACAATTTAGCGACATCATGACTTGCATGCATCCTTTCCTTCGTATGTGATCGTGTATTAGTGTTGGAATTTTGTATAGAAACGGAAACTTCAAAAAAAATTTTTTTTGTGACAGGTGTCCATGTTTTATGAATGCATATTTAGGTCAATACATGTTTTATTATATTTACATTTTCGCGGAAAATTAGGTGTTAATTAGACTGCCATCGGTGGGTTGAATTGTCTGTGTACATTTTTTGTCTTCACGCAAATTATGTTTGCCACCAAACCTGGTTATTTGCCTAGTTTGTGTTTTCTGAAAAAAAAAAAAATGTCTGTCACATTTAGTTCACACATTTGCATGCCCGGGCCATCTGTGTGTTTGTTATTGTTCTCAGTCTTAAGTGAGGCAAAAACAAATGATGACAGTTGAACTCGAGTGTGCAGTTGTGTGAACAGCTAAAGTGGGTGGAATGTAGTGTTCACTAGAGTAACACCACATCCCACACATTCCATTCTGTTGAATTACATTAATGTGTTATCATTAGATGTTTGTCTGCATTTTAATTATGGTACAAGTGAAGTAGATGCCAATGTCTATGCAAAGATGCTTATGCCTTATTCCAGTAGGCCCCTTTTCAATAGGTAGCTGTAGTGCTTTCTGATGTTGTACAGTTCACCAAATTCACTCTGTTTGATTTGCAGAGGTGACAATAAATGCCTCTACTTTAAGATCTGCCCAAGGCTACTCGTGGACTTGGTGGTGAGTAATGATCCAAAAAACTGTAATCATCCATGATACTGGCTTGTTTCTTCTAGTTCAGCTTTTATGGGGAATCATCTCTCTGAGTTTTTGGTGAACAATGAAAAACTTTTTTCTCAGGCACAGTCATGAAGTTATCTTTTTTTTGCAGAAATGGAATGTTAATTCATTTTCTTATTTTAAATACTTTAAAGGCACGTAGTATCTCCGAGTGGCTATTTAAAAAAAACAAAGACAATTATTTTTTAAGTATAGACAGTTTCAGTGTTTCTAAACAAACTGGCTCGTGCCACACGACCTACCCCAGCAGACATCCGGTGCGCCACTTCTGGTAATGCTTTTTTTAGTGGTCCCTGCAGTGTTTTCATGGTGTGTTTGAGCTGGCTGCTCTATTATTTGTGGCGTATTCCTTGGGATGTATTTGATGCAACGTCTAGCGGCTGCTACATGAAGGGGCTCGCGTAGTGCACAGCAAATACAGGCATGACCACCGCTGCAGGCAACATGGCTCGCGTGGCCGGCGAGCGCCGGGCAAAATATTTGTCGTGGCGTTCTGATGAGCACAGCCTCCTGCTCTGTGTTACCTCTGGCAGTGGTCGCGCCTGCAGGTGACGCTTGTCAGTGAGCTTAATTGGGCCAGTTGGTTCTGCATGTCGATGTGGATGCGCTTTGAAAATGCGGACAGGGAATTCACAGCGCACACCTGTCTTTTCCCTGTCTGCGTTTTAAAAGCGCACCCACATCGTCGACATGCAGAAAAAGAGTTGCCTGATTCATAGTGAAGTTGTTCAATTCAGCTTTTCGACTAGAACTGAAAACCTTCCTCCTGTCAAACCCCGAACATATTTGTGGTTTCGTCTAAGCACACAACCTCAGGATAAAACGCCTATATTTGCACCTGTGTCACACCGGGCACTCTTTGCAGAGATAAGTGACGTTCCGAATCGCTTGCGATTCGAAGTGTTCGTGTAACAGAGAAATTATAAAATGTACTGCTTATGTCATGACCTCAACTGTGACTGGATCGTGCAAACCATTATGGTTTACTCAGGAGTAAGATATTCATGAATCAAACTTTCAAGTTGAACCCACCTAAACCATGTTCACACCAAAAGATGAATGAGCTAGAATTTGGCGATATTCATTAGGGGCAGAAAGACAGGCGATGAGTGATTTGCGTGCACAGATGAGTGCCCACTCGCCGGCGTCTCTTTTAAAAATCAATTGCCATGACAGTGAAACGTGGACTTCACGACGTACACAGTGCGGCGATTCATGTAGAGCACGGTTACTATGTGTCTCGTGTTGTTTCAAACAGTATGCGTCATTAATATCGCTCAAACTATACGAGAAACACCTTTGCGATGCATTTTCAGTGTTAGTTTTTACGTTTTGTTAGAGCCATTTCAGACATCAGTACACTTATCTGCCACGGGTGGGAGACAACAGCGAGCGATGTGGTCCCGGTAACCGGGACCTTTGACTAGTCTGAAGTTCGAGTATTGCCTCTGTGCCATCAGTGAGCGCTGAGGTGATACGCAGTGCACACGAATGCCTTCTTCTCACCTCCTTTTATGCAGTGGACAGAACAAACCTACGTGCTCAACGGGAATCCAGTTTTCTCGCGTGATCAAAACGGAATGTTTTGTCTAGCATATAAAATTGGTTAGACTTGCAGACTGCATGCTGGCTTCACGAAGCTGTTCCCGAGTTGCTAGCGCTTCATCAGAATAATTTTATCAGCATAAAACATCGGAACACAAGCAGCGGCGGCCAATAACAGAGGCTAAAACCATGCAAGATCAAACTAAATCGGAAGTTTCCTGGGGTTGTTTTTCGGTTAACGCACAATGTTGCCAGAGACCCGAAGGCTCGGGCGAAACAGTCTCTAAAGTGATAGTTGTCACACGATTGTGGTCTTGAATGAATGAAGTGGAATAATCATTCTAGTCTCGTGTGTAGAAACATTAAAAAATAAAAAAGGTAATTTATTTGGCAGGATTGCATACCAAATTTATATCTGTGGTCAGATTACATCTTTGGTCAGATAAAACATAGAGCAGCAACGTAATCAGTTCCCTAAAGTCATGGCAATCAGCTATGTGGAAATATCATAGGGGAGTGCATTTGCTGCGCATTGAACAGACTGGTAGGTTCAGGGTATTTTTAATAGGTTATGCTGTCATGGCAGGCTTAGTTCATTTAAAGTGAGCTGTGAAATTTCGAATTCCTACATGGGCAAGGGTTAGCATTCCTTGACTACGAGTGTCCTATTTTTGAGCAATTAGTCTTTTTTATATATGGTAAAAAAATTACTTGTTATCGGGAAATATCATTTGCATTAGACAAGACATAACATGAATTTTCCATGACGCCCTTCACCCCTTATTCACTAAAATTCTAGTTAGGCCCCTTGTATTTAAATGCTAATTTATACATGCACACTCTGATAGGTGCAAATTCCAGTTAATTAGCTACGGAAATTCCACTCTTTTATATTGTAGTTGATGCGTAGCATGCCGTAATGCTCACATTGTGATGTTAGGTGAGTCCTGTAATGTGAGTTAGTATCGCAAATCATTGGTTGGATCTGGCTTTACACATCTTGGCATTCCATCACAAAGATGACATACAGGCTTCTGTGGCCCCGCAGGGGCGCCTGCGCAGGTAGGCGTTTGGTGTGTAGCGACACCACGGACCCAAGCTAACGGGGGAGTTTTGACTCCATCCCACGTCTAGCCGTGCGTGGCTTTGCCGTGTCCGGGGAAAAGGGGATCCTGGGGGTTGAGCTGACGCTGGGTGATTTGACCTTTAAGGCCCCCGGCAGAGGCAACACACCCCTTTGGCCCTGGCTTCACGTAGACGGCACCCCCGGATTGACCCGCCTGGGGGGAATCGGCAGTCGCCTTTTCCTGTCTCCCACTCACATCTTCGTCTTTTCTCTTACTTTAAATCTTTCCTGTCCTCTCCTCTCTTCCATTGACTTCCGTGTTTCCTGGCGGCAAGAGTTAACCCTGTGTGGCTATCCTATTTTGGATACACCATATTCGGTTACAGTGGTGGTGTACAGCTGGCATATGCAGGTCGTGTGCTTACAGACCCTGCAGCGTCCCCTTGTAGGACTCCATGGTGGGTGGCTGGCGCCGCTGCTGAACATAAACCTCTTCTTATGGCTAGCTCCTTCCCCCCACTCCCTGATCGCCCTCAGAAAAGAGGGCGCACCGATAAAGTATTCCAGTTTTTTGGTCACCAGAGAGTATCCTTTCCCCGATTCCACGTTATCCACGCTGACACACCCGGCAAACCAGTGCGAACAATTTCACCTTTTCTTGTTTCAAAGACTTTGACAGAAATCTTTGGCCCAGAATATAAAGCTTCGAGAATGGCAAGTGGTGACCTCCTGTTGGAGCTCCGCGACCAGAAACAATATGAGAGACTGCCTAATTTAGTGAAATTTGGAGATACCAAATTAATAGTAACCCCACACCGAACCATGAACACCACCCGTGGCGTTGTCTCAGATGATGACCTGTTAGGGCTGACGGAGGCTGAACTCCTGGAGGGTTTCAGCGAACAGAATGTCATAAATGTGAAACGAATTAGCTTGAGGCGTGATGGCAAAGAAGTCCAGACTAAACACCTGATACTTACCTTCAATTCAAGTGTACTGCCCGACTCCGTTGAGGCTGGGTATATCAAGCTTCGAGTGAGGCCATATATACCAAACCCCCTCCGATGTTTCAAATGCCAGCTGTTCGGCCACAGTTCCCAGAACTGCCGAGGCCGCCTAACTTGCGCGAAATGCAGTGCTGAAGAGCACACATCAGATGCCTGTGAAAACTCTCTTCACTGTGCAAACTGTAATGGGGAACATGCCGCATACTCGCGGTCATGCCCGTGCTGGAAAAAGGAAAAGGAAATTGTCACAATTAAGGTAAAACAAAACATTTCATTTAAGGAGGCACGAAGGCAGGTGTCCTGCCTACCAGAAACTAGCTTTGCCGAAGTGGCGCGTCAGGGGGCAGCGCCACGACGGCCCCCGGCGCCTGTCTGGCACACGCGTAGTGAGCCAGCGGTGACGTCATTCGCCCCCTCGGCGGTTGCAGCCAGTGCTGCTCCGCCATCCAAGAAAGACCCACCAACCTCCGGGCTGGGGGCCACGAAAGTCTCGTCTTTTGAGGCAAGGCCCTCAAAACAAATGCAGCGCTCGCAAGAGCGCCTGTCCAGAGCCTCGCAAGAGGCGATGGACACAACACCGAGCGTGAGGGCGCAGCCAGCGGATCGGCGCGACTCCGTCGACCGATCCAAAAAAGAAAAATCTCGCGTCATAGCCCCTGGAAAGGGTCCGTGAGCTTACTTTCCCTCCTTGAGCACACAGCACAAAACACATCTAAAATGGATACTCAGATCTTACAGTGAAATGTGAGAGGACTTCTCCATAACCTCGATGATATTAGAGAACTTCTTAATAAACATACTCCAAAGGTGCTGTGTGTTCAGGAAACACATCTAAAGTCCACACAAACTTTCTAAAGCATTATGCCATCTTCCGCAAAGACCGTGACGACGCTGCCGCTTCGTCGGGCGGTGTCGCTATAATAGTTGATAAAGGTGTTGCCTGTAAGCAATTAAACCTCCGAACCTCTCTTGAGGCAGTTGCTGTCCGAGCAGTGCTGTTCGGGGAGCTACTAACAATTGCCTCTATTTACATTCCCCCGTGCTATCAACTTTCAAAGACACAATTTCAAAGCTTCATTGATGAACTTCCTCCGCCATATATAGTCGGTGATATAAATACACATAATCCCCTATGGGGCGACTCCCGTTTAGATGCGCGAGGACGCCTAATAGAACACTTTCTGTTTTCGTCAGGTGCATGTCTACTAAACAAAAAAGAACCAACGTATTATAGCACTACACATAACACATACTCTTCTATAGACCTGAGTATTGTCTCGAGTGCTATAATTCCATATCTGGAGTGGTTCGTTCTCAAGAAC